CCATCTCCCTTAGTATAGTTTTCTCTTCATGTATCTTATATGTATATTTAACTATTAAATAAAAGAGATAGAGGATAAACCTCTCTTTAAAAAAAAAAAAAAAAAAACTAACCTTGTTTAAATAAAGATAGTGATAAAAAAAACTATATTGAAATTATATTCATGATGCTTTCAATTTAGACATTTGAAATTGTAAGAGAAATTTTTTATTATCGCATGCTTTTTTTTATTTATTATATTTAGATTGACTTTTACTGCTTTTATTACATATTTTCTTCAACTATTATAAATTCACAAGAAAATAACTATGTAATTTATTAATTTTTGGTTTTTATATAAAGAATAAAGTGATGACATCACCAATTGAACCATCTATATATCCAATATTCACATATAAATATCAGTTAAAAAAAGATGATATTTAATACTATCTTCAACATCACCTTTAGTATTACCTTCAGAATTATTACAAAAATCTTTGCTATTATCATCATTACAAGGTACTTTACCTTCAACAATACAAGTATCTTCACCTTTAGCACCATTATATGTTATTCTATCTTTAGCATCACTACAAGCTATGTTACTATCAGCACTATTACAAGCTACTTTGCTATCAGCATCATTACAAATTCTTTCACATTTGGCACTATTACAATCAATATTTCTATTACAATTTAATTTAATACAACAGCCAAATTTTTTTCTACATCCAATATATCTAGGACAATTCTATATTCCATTATCAATTTATAGTTCATTTATATTATATTTTTCATCGTAATTTTATAAAACACCTTTTCAAGCACCTATTTAGCCATCTTTATAACCAAGTTTTAAACCTACACTTGAAGATTTTTTAAAGTATATTTATGAATACGAAGGCACTGAAAATTATTATCAAAGATTTTTATTAAAATTTTAACAACAGAAAAACTCTATACAATTGCTTTCTAAACTATCAAATGAAAACTTTGAAAAATTTGATATAAATACGATTAGTATACAACAAACTCTTTGCAATTATACTACAAGATACAATATATATTTTATATCATTAAATAATACATTTCCTATAGAAAAACCTTTACTTTTTTTTTTTTGATGTTCAGGTGGAATCTTGCCCATAACTTTATTTATTGTTAATACTTTCATTATATGTATTACTACATTTCTATATTTACATATATCAAGTACACCAAGCTCAGACTCGAATCCTATTGGTTACCTATGCTCTGGCCAAAACCATCACTTGCACAATAGGTGTCCCTATCTGCTATCTGGCCACCGATCCATTATCTGCAATCCAAACCTACTGGAGTGGTACGTCTAAGGATAGCACTCACCTGATATTTTTCCACCTTTCACTAGTCCTATTTTGGTACACTTCTCTATGACGTCATTTCTC